GCTAAATGAGACATCTAAGAATTTCCTTTCTTTTTAACACCAATCTAGCATGAATCTGTCAAAGGGGTCTAAGAAGCAGCTAGTCTGGACACTGGGAGCATCCCCATCACACAGGAGGCTGTGAAGGAAAGCCTAGTTGGTAATTTGGCTGTTACTGTTCATGTGTGCTTAAAGGTTTATCGATATATTTGTTAACTAAACATCACTAATTGTCTCTAGGGGGATCCTTCCCTGGAGAACACCTGAGGAACTCATTGGGGAGGTCCTGGGGAGGCAGACAGAGAGGCAGCTTCAACAGGAAGAAAGGAAGCCTGCAGCCTGGCCAGGAGCTGACAACAGCCTTTCTACGAGCTGGAAATGGTAACTCAGCATGATTCAAGGCTGGGAGTTATTGGTAACAACTGGAATGGGCAGAATCTCGGTCTTGATATTCCATGGCCACATGAGGAAGAAGATGGAAAAACCAGCCCAGAATTAAAAAACAAAACAAAACAAAACACACAAAAAAACCCCAAAACGCTTTCTTGAATGGCGGAACAATCCTACAACTAAGAACTGAATGGGCTTCAGGACAGAACTGAGGAGGGGAGAGAGGAAGGTTTTCAGGGCCTCGGGTAGTGGAGACATCCAGTATGAGCCAAGGGGACCATCACACAGTGTCCAAGTGAAAACTGTCCATATAGGGGGCCTGACTGAGCACAGTGGCACGACACTTCAGGCCAAGGTGGCTGCCTGTCTCAAATCTCAGAGGCAAGGGAGGCAGATTAGGTCCACTCGCAGAGAGAGGACAAGCTGGGCTGCAAGGAACAGAGAACTGTATTCACTCATACACTCAACTCCTTGCCGCCAGCAGGAACTGGCTCACAGCTGACCCTTCAGAGGGTTTTCAGGAGGCTGTAAATCATATGAAAGAAGATGGACCATCTTTCTTCCATGGAGCTGTGGTGGGTCCGAACCACAGGGCAAGTGCTGCCTTTGGGTAAGCAGCACGACTCCCTATAGATTATGCCTTCAGCGCTTCATGAGAATTATCTCAGACCAAATAAGTAGAGAAGGCAACTCATTCACACTGGCCCACCCGTTACAAGCTCTGTGCAAGCCCTGCTATGTATAACCTTGCAAGGAGCCTGGTGATGGTACCAGCTGCCTGCTCAGGTCAAGGTCAAGGTCAAAGCAGCCTGAGCCTGCATATAGCTCAGCAGCCATAGTGGAGAGGCAGAGAATCTGCTTTTCTGTTATTTATCTGAGAGTAAAGAAGACATTATTATTAATTTCTTAGGGCTGCTGTAACATAGTAACAGAAGCTGAGCAGGTTAAACAAAAGAAGAATATTCATAGTTCTGGAGGCCAGAAGGTTGAAATCAAGTGCTGATAGGGTCATGCTCTCTCTAAAGTCTGCAGGAAGACCCTGCCTTGTCTGTGTCTCGTTTTTATGGCTTCCTGGAAACGCATGGTGGTCCTTGACTTGTCAATGCATCACTCTAATCACCACCTCTGTATTTACAAGGCCATCTTCCTCCCATGTCTCTGCCTCTTCTCGTTTATAAGAGTATCATTCATATAAGACTCATATAAAATTGTTGCAGTGGTTTGGTGTCGTTGAGACTCTATGAACAAGAGATCTGAACCCTGTCCTGCCCTGCATCATCCTTATCCTCTCTGAACCATTTGAGCCGATTGCCACAGACACTGTATCAGTAAGAGTAGAGTCTGCCTTAGGTTAACTAATAGCATCTTCAAAGTCCCTATTTGTAAACAAGGTCATATTCACATGTCCAGAACATCAAGGCTTAATATATCTTTTTTGGGAAGCACAATTTTTACCATAACAACTAACAAATACTCTCTCGCTCAGTTGTTTCCTCATTTAGAAGCTGCACAATCTGATGTGTAAGGCTGGGGAAACCAACCTGCTTATTTCCAGGTATAGGGGAGACCTCTCTGCTCAACACAGCTGTCCATGCCTTCTAACCCTTCACTTGATGATGGAGTCCTCCAACCACCAAGCAAATGGGAGGCCAAGACTGTCCACCTCAGATTGAGACTTGCCACTTCTTGATCTACAGGGTGAACGTCAAAGGAAATCAGTGATCTCCTCAGAGCCATTGAAATACTGATGTTGTCATGAATCACGTCATTAATTTCTAAGACAGTGTTTAGAGGAGCCAGAAGGAAATACTTCATTTATGAAATCTGAGTGTGTCTGTCTCGTACAGTGGCTGGCATATAGTCCTCCCTGGTAGGTGCTTTCTTGAATATGTAAACACAGATATTCTAAGACTATAGGAAAGAAGACCCTCGATGAAAGGGATTGATTCAGTGACTGGGGTAGCAGGTAAGTGTGTCTGAGGCAGTGCGGTTGGCACAGGACAGAGCAGGGTCGCTATGAGTCACAGGCACATAACAACAATAACAAAATAAATTCCTGATATGTATTACAAAACTGATTAGCTTTAAAAACACTATGCTGAGTGAAGTCAGTTATCAAAGGACAAAACTTGTATGATTTCATTTATATGAAATATGTAAAATAGACAAAAGTATAGAATCCAAAATTTCTTCATGGTTCCCAGGGGCAGGTGGAAGGAGAAAAGAAAGGAAGACACAATCTCAGGGGACACTAGGTTTCTTTTCAGGATAATTAATGGTGGTACAACTTGATGAACGTAATTAGTGCTACTGAACTGTACATGTGAAGATTGTTGAAGTGGCAATGATGTGGCAATCACAGGGGAAAAAAATAAAAAAAGAAAAAAATATTAGTTCTGGTGGTCTAGTGGCAAGAAGTTGCATTGCAATCCCAAAGGCATGCGGTTCGAATCCACCAGCTGCTCCTCAAAAGAAGGAGGGGCAATCTCCTCTCATGAAATTAACTTCCTCTGAAAACCTACTGGAGGGTCACCTATGGGTCCATTCCAACTCAATGGTAAACAACAACAACAACAATGATTCTGAAAGAACTCTAATTGGATGGTAGAAATGGGTTGGGTGGTAGAATGAAAATGGACAGAGCACTGACGGTGTTTGATTTTATGTGGTATTTGAAAATCAGTTCAAGCCTTTATCACTGATGTGACTGTCGGAAATGTATTAAACTTCTATGAGACTCAGCCTCTGTATATTTTCGGGGCATATATTATTTTCCTGCTTTGCAAGGTTGCCATACAGTGCTTAGACACTTATGGCACATAGTAGGAATCCATGTATTACTAATAAAACGTAATGGGCAGGGCCCATTGAGGTTCCCGCTCTTCTCCCTTGAAACAATCCCTTCCGAACTCTGACGCCCATCCACCTCCCTGATTCATCTTCACATGGCAGTTTAGAGGCGTGACACTGGTGTCATTAGACCTATAAAGGGACATCTGAGGTCCTTGCGCACTCAAAGCCCAATTGGAAGGATGATTTCTTTGGGCTTCTAAGCATAAAAGAGGCCCTTCAGGAAGGTAAGGGGTGGTCAAGGTCCACCTGGAAGGTGTGACGGAGACCCATTCTCCTGACACTTGCAACCAGCCAATCAGACTACTTTAATCCATTTTATCCTCTCCACCAACAGCTCTTATCCACCACCTGAGTCAAGAGAGACAAGGTCAAATGATGAGATCCATACTTGCCTTTCCAGGTGGAGCTACTATTTGGAGAAATGTGAGAGGTGGAAAGAGGGAGCAGGACAGCTTCTGTCAGGCAGACAAGAGGTAATGGGAACACCCTAATGAAATCTCGCCTCCAGAAATGGGTGGTCACACCCCTTGCCACTCCTCTCCCACCCCCGCCCTGCCCCTATACAGCAGAATGACAAATGTAATCACTTTAAAAAGGTCCCATCACTTGCGCAGTCATTCCCAATAAGCACACGCAGCACTACGGAAAAACCACCACCACCGCCACGGGGTTTCAGCCAGGAAAAAAATCGAATCACCAGGACGTCACCAACTGAATTGTCAAAGACCAAATAAAAAGCTTCATGAATTCTCTATCAGCAATATAACGCTTCCTGGCCTAAGCAAATATAGACCCAGCATATGAATTGTGAAGGGATTTTTGCATTAGCCTCAACGGCTGAAGCAGAAACCCCTAAGAAATGCATTTCTCCACAAAGCTGCCTTTATTGGCTCTAATCCTGTTAGGGTGAAGACTGTAATCTCCTTCCTGAGCCCCCTTCTTCTGATGAAAAGCTTTACATCCCAGCCCCACAAATACATTTCTGTGACCTCAGCTGGAGAGAAGACCTGGGCGAGAGGGAAGAGACAGAGGCCCCCTGACCTCACTGAGCGCCTCTCGATTGCTCTGGTGATACTGCTGCTTCTGTACCTGACCACACGAGCCCTTCAGGCCATGTCACAATCGCCCAGGTATGCTGGGTCACTCAATCTCAGACACAAGCTAAGGAAGCGAGAGACTGGTCCTCCCTCTTGAGGAATAAAAAAACCAAATCAAGCGCCTTGCATCTTAGAAAACCCAAGTTCAGAGTCACTTAGATAAAGTCTGCTCAGAGCTGCTGAACCCTTGAGCATCTGGGATAACAGTAAGACAAGATAGAGAACAGCCTGCAAATCTACTGCAAACCAAGAAGAAATGCAGGGAGGATCCAAAGAGGCATGTTCTCACTGCTTTCTGTCAGTGGAAACCATACCCTGTTTACAATTCTCTCCAAACTTCTCGCAGCTCTCTTCCTCTTCACCCACAGTGTTTCAGGAAAGCAACCCACACCCCCTATACACATACGCACACACGCAAATGGGGACTTCGTTCTCCAAGTTTTAGAAAACACATGCCCCACCCTTAAAAGAAGACTCGATTCATTCCAAGAGACCATCTTGGAAAAAATCACTCCTGTGTTTGGCTCTCCTGACAACAGGCCTTCGCTTGCTTCTGGAACTTGAGTGAGGCACACCACCCTCCCTCTCCGGTTCTGACACCATGCCAAGTGTCACGGCCTTGCAACCGACAAGCTGATCTCCAACCTCCACTCCTTTCCTGGTGCCTGAGCACAGACTTACCCCAGTGTCGTCATGGTGACGATGGTGTACCAAAAGGAGGCAGGGATGCTCGTGAACTTGCTGGCCGAGGAGCCTTTCTCGGCATAAAACATCACAGTGGCAAAGATGATGATGGCCATGGTGAGGGAGAAGAGCAGAAAGCCCAGTTCGGAGGCACAGCTCTTCAGCGTGTAGCCCAGGATCCGCAGGCCCTGGGAGTGGCGGGAGAACTTGAAGATCCTGAAGACGCGGAAGACCCGGAGCGTGACAAAGGCGCCAGACACGTCCTCGTTGTTGGTCATGACCAGCCCGATGTAGTACGGCATGATGGCCACCACGTCGATGATGCTCATGACACTGCGGATGAAGCGGTAGCGGCTGGGGGCAGCGAAGAGCCGGAGGAGGTACTCCACCGTGAAGATCATGACGCACGCCGTGTCCAGGCAGAAGAAGGCCACGGAGTAGCGCTCCCCGCATGGCAGCTCCTTACTCCCGGGCGCCGTGCCGCACGGCACCGTCTCCACCACGTTGGTGATGACCGAGACGGCGATGAAGAAGCCAGTCACGTAGTAGAAGACCAAGGCCATGGTGCTGGTGTGCGGGTTCTCGAAGGCCCGCCACATGGTCTGGCGGAAGCTGAGCGAGGGCATGGCCTCCTGGTTGTTCTCCGAGTCGTTGTCGTCCATGAGGCGCTCGGCGTTCTCCCTCTTTCGGTCTTTGTACTCCTCATAGCAGCAGTCGCCGATGATCTCGGGCAGGATGCCGTAGAAGGCCAGCTCGTCGTCGTAGGCTGAGATGCACTCGTACCGCGGGTAGTGCAGCTTGCCTGTGCGGTAGAAATTGAGGACACAGCGGAAGACCTCCGGGTCCCGGTCGAAGAAGTACTCCTTGGTGTCCTCGTTGAAGAAGAACTCCTTCTCCGTGCTGCCCAGCAGCGTGTCCGGGTAGCGCTCCAGCGTGGTCCTCCAGGTCTGGAACCTCCGCCCGCTCACGTTGAGGATGATCAGTTCATCTTGCCGCTTGTTCTTGTCAGCGGGGGCGAGGGGCATGGGACAGTTGGCCACTGGCATCCACCCAATGGCCGCAGCCCGGGCAAAAGGCAGCCAGGCCGCGACTCCGGCCGCCATGGTGACTCCAGCTCTTGGGCCGGCAACCGTTGGGACACTTTGCACACCAGCTTGGAGTCAGTTCAGCAACCCCTACGAGACGGGAGGAAAGAACAGAGAGAAGTATTAAGTCCTTGACTGGTCCACAGGCGGGAAATGAGACACGGTGAATGGTCATTGGCCAAAATGTCTCAAAGGTGGATGAATGAAACGGTGAGAAATCACCCTCTAAGGGCAAATCCCTGCATTCTTTTCTTTGCTCTCGACACAGGGAGAGGACCCAGCAATGGGGCAGTGCATGCATGTGGGATCACCAGATGTTGTTGACTGTCTGACAAATTGTCAAGTTCCGAGAAGGCTCAGGAGCATTTGGAGGGAAAGCCTCTTTAGCAGGAAGATGTGAGAAGATGCAGGTAATAATCAGCTCTGAAAGGTTATGGTGTTATTACGAATTTAAATTGGGAGAGGGTAAATGAGTTCTCATTAAACGAATTTAAAAGTAGGATAAACATGCTAATTTTTATTTTTCTCTTCACCCACCACTGCAATCAGGGGTAGGGTGTGGATGAAGGCGAGCAGGTAAAGATATTCTTCATACTCCACTCCTTGCTAGTAAGGAGGAGGCTGGCGATGCCCATCCTAGAAAATTGCCGGAGATGGGAGGTGATGGCAGTAGGCTCAAGCCTGTTGATATTCTGTCCCCAATTCCCACGGACAAGACAATCCTTGGGGCACTGCCACCCTGTGGGACACCTGGCCTCGATTCCTTGGCCCAGCAACCTCATGTCCACCTGCAAACGCAGAACCATGAAGGGAAGGCGGTTTGATATGAGGCAAGATCCCTCCCCCACCCTGTGAAGAGCCCCGTTTCCTGGGTCACCTGACTTCCATGCACCGGCCTCCCAGGGGGAGCTGATCCAGGCTCCCTCCCATCTTTACTGCCTAGCCTCCTGTCGCCATCTGCCCACCATTTGTAGCTCCTTCAGGTTATATAACAATATTTCTTCTCCCTATCATGTCAGCCTCTCACGCCTGACCCTATTCCACCATTGAAGGTGCTTCCGGAGCTGGGTCATCTCCTTCCTTCACTCTAGGCCTCTAAACCACACACCCTTCTCCGTCATTCTCCACCATCGGGAGAGCAATGGCATGGAGAGGCCCATCTACCTTTGAGAAATAGGTCCTCTTTCCCAGGACTGATTTCTAAAGATGATAATCAAATTTTTATGCAGTCTTCAAATGTACAACTTCTGGAGGAAGACATGTGCTGACTCAGAAATGCACGTAAACAGTTCATAGGAACCAATCTGAGGTTGATGCCAATCCTAAACTGATCACTTAGAATAAGTCCTAATGCAAAATTTTATGAACCCTTTGAAACTTAGCTGGTTGGACGCTAAATTTAAATAAATGAGGACAGTCTTGGGTTGGTATTTTTCCTGTTACAAAAAGACCTGTGATAGGATTTGATTTTCATCTCTCTCTGCAAGCTCCACATCTTCTCTTGAGTCTCAATACTTCTAGGTTTTGAAATTTCCACTACCAGGTCCTCTTCTCACTCTGGAGTTGCCAATGGACTCTCCTTTCTGGCTGTCTCTGAACCTGAACAGATTTAAATCCAGTCTATCTCCTTATAACTTGTTCTTATCCTCTACCGTATGGTATCCCTGGCCCCAGGCTCACTGCCACTGCCATCTTCTTCACTGTTCTACCCAGAAAGGTGCCAAATAATGAGACTAAGCATTCTACTGCCTTCACTGAGGCTTAATGTCCTTTAGGCCTCCTTCCGACTGGCCTGCTTATTCACTCTCACCCCATTTCTCCTGCTCCACTGAAATGCATTCTGCTCAGAGTAATCATCTTAAAGAAGGTCCATATACTTCCATCCTCACCCAGGCTGCAAAATAAAATTGAAAGTCCTTGCCCTGCCATTTCAGTATTTCCACCAACTGATCCTGGCTTAATATTACAGACTAGTGTCCCATGCACACATCTCAGCCTACAGCAGCAAGATCAGTTCTCACGCAGAACCTGCTGGCGTCTGTCTCTTCCTTCAGCCTATCCGACACCTTCCTTCCCATCAAGATGCCACTCTCTCCAGGATGTTTCTTCCTTTCCCCTATTATGGGATCCCCTCCTTCCTTGGACCCTTGGCAGTTTGTCTGCCCTTCTTCTCTGGCATCCACAACCCTCTGGCCTGGATTGTTATTGCTGTTAGCCAATGTCAAGTTGGCCGCTGGCTCAAGGCGACCCATGCACAACAGAACAAAATGCTCCCCAATCTTTTGCCATCCCCACAAGCTGTTGAAGATAAGACCACTATGGTCCCCAGAGCTTTCACTGGCTGATTTTCAGACCTTTATTCCTACTCTGCCTTCATCTGAAACGCTGCTGAATCCTGTTCAGTATCATAGCAACACGCAAGCCTCGCTTGAGAGATGGTTAGTGGTTATGCGTTGTCCAGGATTACAGATACTTCATAAATGTCTTATTAATAATAATGGCTAAAATTAAAGTGCACCTGACCCAAGCCATGGTCTCTTCAATTACCACATATTCATGAGAAAGTTGGACAGTGAATAAGGAAGACCGACAAAGAATGGATGCTTCTGAATAGTGATGCTGTCAAAGAATGTTGACTATACTATGGATTGCCACAAGAGCAAACATATCTGTTGTAAAAAGAAGTACAGCCAGAATGTGTCTTAGAAGTAAGGATGACAAGACTTCATTTCACATACTTTGGGCATATTATCAGGAAGGGCCTGTCCCTAAAGAAATACATCCTGCTTGGTAAAGAAGAGGGTCAGTGAAAAAGATAAAGACCCTCAAGGAGGCGGGCTGACACCGTAGCTGCAATGATCAATGTAAGCAGGCATTGTTTCATGATGTTGCACAGAGAATCGCTGTGGCATCTAACAACAATAAAATTAGATGAACAATTACTCTCTGCCAAGCTATGTATTCAATGCTTCTCACAGGTTTAATCTTCACAGAACTCTAGGAAGGAGCCCTTGGTGACACTGTTGCTGTTGTTACTATGTGCAATCAAGTTGGAAGCTACTTGTAGTTGACCTTGCAGTTGGTCTTCATAGGAGGTAAACTGCAAGTGAGGAGTCTGCCCATCTTTTCTCTGTGGAGCAGTTAGTGAATGTGAACCATCTGCCACTGACTTGACAGTGCAATTCCTTACTACAAGGCCATAATGGGTTACATATCAAACTGCTAAACAAATAGTAATCAGTGTGAACCCACCAGTTCCTCCATGAAAGAAAGATAGACAATCTCCCCCTGGAAGGATTCAGTCTCAGGAACTCAATGGAAAGCTGTCTTGAGTCAGAGCTGACCCAACAGCAGAAGTTTGGGGGTTTGCCCCATTTCACAGATAAGGAAAACTAAGGCTTAGTGAAATGCAAAAGTCTAGTAACACACACAAAAATATATAAGGATTTCTGCTCAAGCAGCCTGAGGGCTGAAGCAATTCACTATACCATCTCCTACAGTCTCCTTGTAATTGAAAACAATAGCAGATGATGTTTCTCAAGGGCTGACTTTGTGCCAGAGATAGTGTCATTTTTCCAATTTCTCCATCCCATATAAGCTCTTAAGGAGCAAAGGCTGGGCATCTCAATGTTTATGCCCCTCCGCATCACAGGAGGCAGCAAATGCACTGCATCAGTAGGTGCTCAAACTGGGTATCCTACTTTGATAGACTCTATTTGCATCACATTGATTTTACTCCACGTTCTGTAAATGCATTTCAGGGGTTTTCAAGCACGGGACTTCTCTCTCCAGACAGTGAACTCTAAAGACAGATCTGAATTAGGAGATTCCAGTTCAAGTGTCTCTGCCTCTGACTTACTATGATCTCAGCCAAATTTCTTCCTGGAGAGGATCTCTGCCTCAGTTTCCTCATGTGGACGCTAAGAGAAATAACAGAAGGACCTTCTGCTACCATTCAGATGCTACTGAAGCAAGGTTGGCAACGACATCCTCAATAAACATCACCACTCAGAGAGCAGAGCACACGTCTGACTATGCAAACTAATCAAAGAAGTTTGGAATATTCGCCTGCCTCAGTGTGTGACCCACATGCCTCCAATAGAAGGTATAGAAACACATTCTCTAGACTTCTCCCCCAAAAAATTCACTCTTACAGTTAGTTAACTAACTATACATCTTTTAGTTTACTTCGGTTTCTCATCCCTCAGCATTGAGAGGCAAGGTGAGTTTGGAAAGCAAACCTACAATTTAAAAATTCGTCACAGATTAATCCAATTGAGATTTAATTAACATTTAGAGAGCAATGAAGATGGTTTGGGCATTGTCCGAGGCACTTTCATAGAGCACATCATTTAATCCCCACAAAATGTTATAAAGTAGGTATTTCTGCCAGTAGGTTGCAGATAGACTGAAGCTTAGCCAGTTTCCTTCAGGTTCCCTCAAACTAAATTCCATAGATAAAGGATCAACTGTGATCCAAACAGAGTCCTTAAGTGGCACAAATGCTTATGCACTCAACTACTAACCAAAAGGTTGATGGTACAAACACACCTCAGGGTGTTTTGGAAGAAAGGCTTAATGATCTGTTTTCAAACTGCCATAGCCTTTGAAATTTCATTCTGCATACATGAGGTTTCCATGAGTTAGAATTGACTCATGGTAACTACTAGCTGGTATAATTCAAATAGACAATTCCTCAGTTCATTTTCAAATAATTCAAATAAAGCCAACTACTGGTGCTCCTGACAAAGAAAACAAGATGCAGAACCTCCTCTTCCCCTCCTCCAGAGAGCAAAGGACGTTGGCCAAGGAATTAGGAGAACTTTGGTCTTAGTTCTATCCCAAACCTGTGAAAGCTAGTCATTGTCACCCTCAGGACTTCAGGACCCTCATGTATAAGATGAGAGAATTGAACATTCAGATTCCAGAAGACAGTAAGACTATCACTTTCTGTGGCAAGGAAATCTTTAGTTCAAATTATCCTTGAGTTTCCACGATCCAGGCCATCCACTGATCTA